CACCAGTGCCCATCCACCACACCAGTGCCCATCAATACACCAGTGGCCCCATCACCACCACATCCACCACACCAGTGCCCATCCATCCACCAGTGCCCTCCACCACCAGTGCCCCATACCACAACCAGTGCCCATCCACACCAGTCCCCATCCACCACACCAGTGCCCCATCCACCACCAGTGCCCCATCCAATCACACCAGTGCCCCATCCCCAACCAGCCATCCACACCAGTGCCCCATCCACCACACAGTGCCCCATCCACCACACCCCCATCCACCACCAGCGCCCCATCCACCACACCAGTGCCCTATCACCACACCAGTGCCCCATCCACTCAATGCCCCATCCACCCCATCCAGTGCCCCATCCACCCCACCACCACCAACACCAGTGCCCATCCACTGCCCATCCACCACCAGTACACCATCACCACACCCATCCACCACACCAGTGCCACCATCCACCATCAGTGCCCCACTGCCCCATCCACTACAGTTCCACCACCACCCCAGTGCCCCATCCACCACCAGTACCCCATCACCACACCAGTGCCCCATCCACCACCACCAGGCCCCTCCACTACATCAGTGCCCCATCCACTACACCAGTGCCCAGTGCCCCCACACCCAGTGCCCCAATCCACTACACCAGTGCCCCATCCACCACACCCAGTGCCCCATCCACCACACCAGTGCCCCATCACCACACCAGTGCCCCCCATCCCCATCCACACACCAGTGCCCCATCCACGTACACAGTGCCCCATCCACCACACCAGTGCCCCCATCCACACACACCAGTGCCCCATCACACACACCAGTACCCCATCCACCACACAGTGCCCATCCACCACCAGTGCCCCATCCCTACATCAGTGCCCATCCACTACCACACAGTGCCCATCCACCACACCAGTGCCCCATTCCACCCCACCACACACCAGTGCCCATCCACCACACCCAGTGCCCATCCACCACACCAGTGCCCCATCCACACACCAGTGCCCATCCACCACACCAGGCCCCATCCACCACACCAGTTGCCCCATCCACCACATACCAGTGCCCCATCCACCACACCAGTGCCCCATCCACCACACCAGTGCCCCAGTGCCCCATCCACCACACCAGTGCCCCATCCACCACACCAGTGCCCCATCCACCACACCAGTGCCCATCACCACACCAGTGCCCCATCCACCACACATCAATGCCCCATCCACCACACATGCCCCATCCACCACACCATGCCCCATCCACCACACCAGTGCCCCATCCCAGTGCCACACCACACCAGTGCCCCATCCACCACACAATGCCCCATCCACCACACCAGTGCCCCATCCCCATCCACCACCACCAGTGCCCCATCCACCACACCCAGTGCCCCATCCACACACACCCACCACCACACCAGTGCCCCCATTCCATCCCCACACCAGTGCCCCATCCACCACCCAGTGCCCCATCCACCACACCAGTGCCCCATCCACCATCAATGCCCAGTGCCCCATCCACCAGTGCCCCATCCCCACACCAGTGCCCCACCACACCCAGCCCCATCCACCACACCAGTGCCCATCCACAACACCAGGCCCATCCACACACCAGTGCCCATCCACCACACCAGTGCCCCATCCACCACACCAGTCCCATCACCACACCAGTGCCCCATCCACCACACCAGTGCCCCATCCACCCATCAATTGCCCACCACCACACCAGTGCCTCCATCCACCACAACCCAGTGCCCCACCACCACCAACAGTGCCACCCCACAGTGCCAGTGCCCCATCCACACCAGTGCCCCATCACCCAACCAGTGCCCCATCCACCACCAGTGCCCCATCCACCACACCAGTTGCCCCATCCACCACACCAGTGCCCCATCCACCACACCAGTGCCCCATCCCACCACCACACCAGTGCCCCATCCACCACACCAGTGCCCCATCCACCACACAATGCCCATCCCACACCAGTGCCCCCACACCAGTGCCCCATCCACCACACCAGTGCCCCATCCACCACAACCATGCCCCCACCACACCAGTGCCCCATCCACACACCAGTGCCCCATCCCCACACAGTGCCCATCACCACACCAGTGCCCCATCACCACACCAGTGCCCATCCACCACACCAGTGCCCATCCCCACACCAGTGCCCCATCCACCACACCATTGCCACCACACCAGTGCCCCATCCACCACACCAGTGCCCCATCCACCACACCAGTGCCCATCCACCACACCAGTGCCCCATCCACCACACCAGTGCCCCATCCACCACACCACCCATCACTGCCCCATCCACCACACCAGTGCCCCATCCACTACATCACACACACACTCTCTCTCTTTTCTCTCTTTTTTTTTTTTTTTTTTTTTTTTTTGAGACACCCAATAACCTGAAGAAATTCATACCTCATTCCATACAAGGACAAATCACCCTCACTTCACTCACCCATCCACTATACCACTGCCTCATCCACTACATACAAACACACACACACACACACACACGCTCTCCCTCTCTCTCTCTCTCTCTTTTTTTTTTTGAGACACCTAATAAGTAGTGAAATACAAGAAGTCCCCAAAGTCCCCGGCGAGGCCGCACTGGCACAGACACCGTGGCTCTTCTGGACGAGATGATCCCGAAGGTCACCGCAGGAATTGCCTTCCCCTCGTCGCTGTTCAACTCGCAACCAACAAGATGTTACAATCCTGAGCAGATGCTAGGAGCCCCATTATTGTCACGCTAAGCATAACCTTTCTCTTCCTCTGGTCGTGCTCACTTCCTTCCCCCTTGCCGAGCCCCTCCCCTCCGCCCCCCTTCTCCCTCCCCTGACATCGCCGACTGCGCCTGAACCGACTTACGGGCGCCCCCGCGACGCTGCGCCAAGGGCTACTTACGAGTCGGTCGTTGCTGTAAAGGGAGGCCTTCGTCGCGGTCGGGCGTCGGTTGCGGTGTTGCTGTTGGAGCGTTGGCGGTGTCTCTGTGGCAGTTGGGGCTGCGGGTTGCAAGCGAGCTCGCTGCATCCGGCGCCGCCTTCCTGTCCCCTCTTATCGGATACCTTCGCTCCGCAGATAACGCAAACGGGGTAGCTAGCCTCGCTCACGCCCTTAACACACACACAAACCCTTTACAAAGTTAAAGGTGTGTGTGTGAGCTGGGAAACTCGCCTCTGCAGTGCCCAACTATGGAAGCGTATGCACGCATTTGCCTGCCCCGTAATGAGCAATGCCTCCTGCTTGCCCGTCCTGGCCGTGTTTCCTCCTACGTCCTCGACGAAACCAGGAGGTCTTTCTATTATCATTATTATCTTTTTTAGTTTAGTCTTTTCCGTTTCGGACAGCCATGTGTCTTTTATTTCTTGGTATCGTAAGCGAGCCAGCTATGGACACAGGAGACCGGCGGAGCACCTGAGTGTCCCCTTAGCAACGAGCCGCACCCTTTTGGCCTTGGAAGCTATCTCGCCCGGCAAATCCCTCGGATTGAGCCTACGTACACTGGAGACTGTAGGGGTTCGGGAGGAAAGGAAATTGTCGCAGGGGTTGGGGGGGAGGAGGAGAAGGAGAGGTTTGGGGAGGAGGAGGAGGAGAGTGACGCAGGGTTGGGGAGGAGAAGGAGGGGTTGGGGAGGAGGAGGAGGAGGGCGAGGAGGTTTGGGAGGATGAAGAGGAGGGTGATGCAGGGGTGGGGGAGGAGGGCGGTTGGTGAAGAGGAGGACGAGGACGAGGAGGTTGGGGAGGAGGGAGGAGGAGGAGGAGGAGCAGGTTGGGAAGGAGGAGGAGGAGGGATCAATGCAGGGTTTGGGGAGGATGAAGAGGAGGGTGATGCAGGGGTTGGGGAAGAGGAGGGGACGAGGAGGTTGAGGAGGAGGAGAAATAGACTGGGGAGGAGGAGGGGGATGCAGGGGTTGAAGAGGAGGCGACACAGGGTTGGGGAGGAGGAGGAGGAGGACGAGCAGGTTGGGAGGAGGGAGGAGGGGGCAATGCACGGGTTGGGGAGGAGAAGAGAGGGTGATGAAGGGGTTGAGGGAGGAACGACCTGCAGGGGCGAGGAGGACGACACAGGGGTTGGGAGGAGGAGGAGGAGGGACGCAGGGGTTGGGAGGAGGTAGTACGGGGGGGGGTGAAGTGAGGTTACTGTCTCCTACCGTTTTTACCTCCATAGAGGCTTCCACAGAGGGAGAGCGAGGAGAGGGGATAGAATTAAAATTAGGGAGAGGACGCTATATATGGAAGTAAGGAGGAAAAGGAGAGATGATAAACAGATTGAGAAAAAGGTAATCGATTGTCAGGAAATGCATAAACTCCTCAGTCAGGGGCAAAAAGTCATAAGAGAGAGAGAGAAGCAGAAAGAAAAATAGAAAGTAGAAAAAAAAACAGAAAAGAGGGAAAGCAGAAAGAAAAATAGACAGAGACAACAGTAAACAACAAAACTAAAATTCACAGTGACATCATACTCATAACACATACATTATTAAACCGCCTTTTCCACCGGTTACAGCAGACGCGAAAGGAATTGAGCAGTAAACATTTATCGAACCGCCAGATGCATTCTTCCTACCTCAGTTAAATTCATGCATATTCGTACTTACACTGGATGTCTATAACAGCCCAACCCAGCCCATCAAAAGCCATCTAGGATATTGTATTCTCAGTCAGTGTGCACCGGTCGCGTCGCCCTCGTTGCCACCGGAAAAGGTATCGGTCTTCTTGTCCTTAGTGTATATTTCTTCTTGGGTTGTGGGGGCCTTCCTTGTAACCAGCAGGAAAACGAAACACCAAGCTTGAATCCAGTAGCTTCTATTCTCAGAGGAGTTGCATAGGGGGGCGAGAGCACACATCTCTCCTGTGCTTGACCAGCGCCGAGAGAGCGAAATTTGGCGGGAAACCCCGGTCACAGGCAATGTTGCTAGGTCACGTGGCCCAGGACAGTGGTGCCACGTCACATGCAATAAATGTACATATATGGGGGCCACATCAATAAACAGGAACATCATACAAGGTTATACATATACACATATACAAATGCAAGGTAAACGTATTGCAACAAATCATATGGCGGTTATGTGCAATATACGAGTCCTCACTTCTCTACACTTAGGCAACGATGGGTGCCACTCGCGGCATTTTAAAGTGCCGTGATTTTGAAACCAATGTCACTCAGAATTGTTCAGACATGAAATCAGTTTCATTTTAAGTATTGAAACTGACCAAAACTTAGCAAATAATGTAGACACACAGAAGATGCGAAAGTCCTTCTATCAGAAATGAAGGCAATAAAATAGACCATTCGAAACGCTTTAGTTTGTGGTAAGGAGTCAAGAAAAACCTAGTGACAACTGGTAAACAAAGAAAATGTTTTAGGGGTATCTCTACTAAACATGAGGCATAAGCTAATGAAATTCATCGTAGCGTTCACACTAACAGCAGATGTAAAGTAAAAAATAAAGCTAAACGTGAAAAATCTTGGAAGAGAAATGAAAACACCTTAACTCGGTACAGGGTGAAATGGCCGTGCTTCATTCCACGAAATGATACAGTGAAATATGCAAAGCTAAAATTATAATTGTCTTTGTTTTCGACCACTGAGAACGATTCTCAATTTATCTTCTGGCTCTAACAAATAACGTCACATTATTCTGAGTAGTTACAGGCAAAACAGAATTGAGAACGAAATGTTAAAATTCAATTCAATTAAGCTTTTTTCGTTGATATAAATATTTCGTGAAATTATAGGAAATGCATCGAGATGATGAGATGATTTACCAGACATTGGTCTTCAACTTTTCCTTATGAACCCATGACAAAATTGCGTTAAAAACAGTGAGCGCCAAAAAAAAAAAAAAAAAAAAAAAAAAAAAAAAAAAAAAAAAAAAAGCTGACGCCTCTTCCATTACTTAGAATTTATACTTTTGTTGTGAAAAAAAAAAATCAGCAAAATTCATATTTGCAATGACATAGTTCTCTGTTAGGTACAAAAGATGACTTGAAGGATCGTCATTATTTTTTTTTCTAAGACGTCCGCATAACCGACCACGACGATTTTTGCATCGTCGGATTCCTCTCGCCGTCTGTAGGGCAGCTGAGTAGGCTTTGTTGCGCCGAAGCCCCCCCCCTTAGGGCGACAAGCTTGGCCCTGATAGCCGGGGAAGGCGTGAGGGCTTTCAGGGGAAACATGGGGATAAACAACACAATGATATCACACTCGTTCTCACATATTAACGAATTGAAAACTCCTTAAAGAAAGGATAAGGGTCACTGAACGGGGCCATGGAAATGAATGCTTATTGCAGGGCCACAGAAGGAAAACTCTTTCTCTCTCTCTCCTTTTCCTCCTTTCTCTCTCTCGTAATAACAATTCATAATAACAGTAATGATTTTAAAATAACTGTCAATAAAGTAATGACGATAATGATAATAATAACGGCAGTGATAGTAATGATATTCTATTATCTTTAGACAGAAATGATAGTAAACTTATGGTTGGAATATGCGAAGAGAAAGTCTGGCTTGATTTTGGGGAAATGATGATTGAAATGAATGGTGCGAGTGAGAGCAACGAAATGTCCAGAATTGTTTATATTAACATGTTCTTTATATATAAAAATGTCAACCTTCTCTATCAGTACTGGCGCGGCAGGTTCTATACTGCTTATTCGGCGTAACTCCTTATTGCTAAGAGAAACGAACGAGTAGAAGTAAACATAACACGAGACTGGTCAGCGCGGGGCCCCGCTGGCCAGCCCCGGCGAGGGCGGCTGCGGGCGGTGGGGCGCGGGAGGTCCGAGGCGCGAGGGGCGGGCTGCCTCTGTGCCTCTCTCGGGTCGCCCTTGACGGAGAGCGCCCGACGCAGGGCATGCGAGGTCAAGGCGGCTGCTCCTGCCGGGTGCGCAGCTGGAGGGGAGTGAGTGAGGTGTGCGGCTCTCTCCATCGGACCCCCAGGATGCCTTAAAATGTATTTGGAGTGCACAGGTGTCGTTTGATGCCTGACTCAGATAGTGTACTTCATTTAATTAATCGATAATGCATTTCACTAAATTGTAACCCGAGCAACGAGTAAGCACCATAACCACTAATTGTCACAGACACGATATAATGGAACTCAAATACCTAGGAAATTTTGAGATATAACGGAGTCGTGTCCTTTCGCTATGATAAGATCGTCGTTATATTAATTGCTGTTTATATCTCGAAGGTATTATCAGAGTGGAAAAGGAATAATACAGAAAATGAAAGAACGAAAAGAGAATTAGTGAAATACAAACGGACAGAATAACAGACTAGCAGGCAGAGAATGAGAAGAGGCCAGAGAGAGAGAGAGAGAGAGAGAGAGAGAGAGAGAGACTAAGTGAGGCAGATATTGACAGAGAGAGAAAGGGAGAGAAAGAGAGAAATTTGCCCCAACTTTTTATCTCCGTCTTACTCTGGTATTTATTATGTATTTATTATTATTATCTGGTATTTATTATAGATTCTACATAGCTTT